GAGCCCGGACCCAGAGGACGCGCCTGAGCCCGGACGCAGCCGGAGCCGCAGCCCAGCGGCTGGAAGCGCCGCTGCCCGGTGTCGAAGCCGCCCTCCCGGCCTGCCGGGCCGCGGGGACCTTGTGCGCAGACCGCAGACGGGGAGGGGGCGCGGGCGCTGGTGCTGGAAGACGGACGCAGCACCCGGAAAGGCGGGCCGGTTCCCGGCTCCTCGCGCTGCTTGGAGAGCTGGCTCCGCGGGGTGCGTCGCCGGGGAGGGAGGGACAGGCCTTGGGGAGACCAGCCGGGCGGGGAGTGGCTTCGGGGGCCCCCTCGCCAGCGGAGGGCAGCCAGGTACGTGCGTTTTCCTTGTCTTCCCGCGCGCCGAGCGCGCTCTCGGAGAGCAGAGACCAGAAACCCGGCTGCGGTGCAGGAAGCTTTCGCTGCACACGTGTCTTTTTGGGGTGTGCGGGGAGGGCCCCGGCCCGGGGTGTTCCTGCAGCCCCCGCCGGGGAGCTCCCCGTAGGGAGATGCTTGTCTCTTTTTCCCGGTCCCGTTTAATTCCGCGGAGGAGACCGTGCGCCCCTCCTCGGCCTCGGAGCTGGGGCGGCTGGCTTTGTTCTCCGCAGTCTTCCCAGCCCCGTCCCTTGGAAAGCTGGATTTTTCTTAGAACAGGGGCGCTCAGTTTTTGGGGGGGTGAGAAGTGTTTCGGAGGAAACTCGGGCTGGGGGATCCGACCTTGGTCCCAGGCTGGGCGGGCAGGTCCCCTTGTCCCGGAGCGAGCTCCTCCTGGCCCCAGGGCTTCGGGGTGTGAGCGGGGGTGGTCAGGAGGCGGCCTGCAGCGGGCCCCTTCCCCTCCCCCACGCCCACTTACAACAAAAGGGATCCTCGGGAGCAGCTGTAGGGCGAGAACGCTTCTGAGTGCGGGCCTGTAGCTCTCCCCGCCTCCGGTCTCAGGAAGCGACCGGGTCTTACAGCAAAGGGAAAGACTGGAGAGAGTTGAGGGAGCGCTTTTATTTAGGGTGTTTTAAGAAAGAATTCACTTTCTCCCCCCCCCCCCAAATTAGAGGCAGCTGAATCGGAGCTCTCTTCCACTTAATTACCCGATTAATGGGATTTTAGGTGATGTTCTCATTTGGGACGGTTTGGTTTGGAGACTTTCAGAAGAGGAACAGAGTCCTCGTTACGTAGGACATGGCAGATTTGACCTCCACCCGATATGGTAGAAAACCCCTATGGAGTGAAACGTAGTCCTGGTGAGTTTGCAGAAGGTTGAAAATTAGGGGATTTGATGGTTGTGTGTGGGGGAGTGACTTGTGTCCTGCCTGCCCCCTCGATAAATCAGAACAAAGGGCCGAGGCGAAAGCGACGACAGAGTGAGCTGGGGGCTCGGAAGCCCCGGGTGCGAGCGGAGCACGTTATAAATACTTGTCGCCTTGCACCCCCGCGCACGCCCGAGCATCTCATTCGAGTTTGTGGGGGGAATGAGCCCCTCGCCCAGAGCTGGGTTTGGAACCGATAGACCGGTTTTCGGCCTGGTCCGCGGGGGCTCCGGGGACCCTACCCCGGCTCGTCCCAAGTCGTGGTTTCCGGGCTGGGGAGTGGAGAGCCCGGGGCTGGGAAAGGCCCCTCTTTGGGGCAAAGCGCACAGTTTGTTGCCACCTTCCGAGGACCGAGACTCGGGGTTCGCGGCGGCCTCGCTGCGTGCTTCCCCTGTCGCCCCCGGCGTGGCGCTCGGGACGCAAACCCGCGTCCACCAAAGCCCGAGACCTTTCTCTCAAAATAAAACTCAGCAGGCCATAAAGACTCCCGATTCCAGTGCAAAAGGCGCCGCAGATTTATGGCCCCCGAATTCCCCACACTCTAATTATCCCTGTTTGGGGTTGACGTATGGGTGGTGACCAATAAAATCATTTTCCATTTTGGATTTTTTTCCCCAACATGAAAAATGCAAGCTTCGTTCCTCTTACTCGCATGGGCGGATCTTTTTCCGCGCGGGAAGAAAAGAACCCCGGCCTCCGTCTGCCCGCTCTGCCCAGGGCGGAGCCGCCGCCTCGGGCTGGACGAACCGGACCTGCCGACCCCCTTCCGCGGCCCCTTGACTGCAATTTAGGGGAAAGTGTTTTTTTCGTTCACCCGCCGTCGGAGGAGTTTCCAGGGACCCCCTCCCTAGGAGCCCTGCCGGGTGCGGCGCGGGCTGCTCGTAGCTCCGAGCCCCACCCGAGGTTCGCGGCCCCCACCCAGGCCGGCGGCTGGTGGGACAGAAGCCGCGGAGGGTCCCCACGGTCCCGTCCCCACTCTGGTCACTCTTCGTCCGGCGCCCCTCCCGGGGGGGGGTCGCCTACCCGACCCCTCGCCGCTGCCTGGCGGCCCCATCCCCCACCCTGTTCCCTTTGTTTCTCTCTCCGGACACCGAGTTGGAGGTGGCAGGAAAAAAAATAATTAGATGGAAATCAAAGATGCGACGGGGTGCGCTGTCGGCCTGGGCCGGCGCCTCATAAATCTCCTTCACGGCCCTGACAAAAGCTGCGTCCTCCAGTTCCCTGGGAATTTGGAAACATCGATCTCCTCGCCGCCCCCAAACACCGTTTTTCGGGAGCGAGACAGGAGAGTCCTTGGTGACCCCCACTTCTGGCCAGTGCAGGAAGCCCCCGCCCCAAACCCGCAGTTTGTTAATTTTCAGATATTGTCGGAAGGGGAGGGGGCGGTCTGTGGACAGAGTGACCCGGGGACCCAAACTACCCCGTCCGAGGAAGGGCCGCAAACCTGCCCACCCCGCTCGTAACCCCAAATACAGATCTGGGTGCCGCGCCGCCCTACTCCACGCTGCCTGGGGAGGTGTGCTGGGTGGACGGGAGGGCTCAGGGGCGGATTAGCCCTCGTTGGCGACTCCTTTGTGTGACCGTGCCGTGGCCGAGACGAGCTGGGGTTGGCCCGGGCGCGCAGGCTGCGGCGCAGGCTCGGGCTGAGCCTCCAGGGCCCGGTGTTCGCGGTCTTGGGGGCCCACGTGCGATCCACCCGGGAGCTGCGCCCCAGCCGCGCGGCGGAGAGAACTTGAAGGAAGCCTGGGCGCGTTTAGATTTAACAACAACAAAAAGCCCGAATTAATCGGGTAAATGCTAACGGGCCCTTCCCAAGGCAGAGGAGAGGTTGGGGGTGGGGGGAGGATGCCTTTCCAGACGATGTCCCCTTGTCGTGGCGGTTGTTCCTGACCCTCCCTACTATTAAAAGCAATGTTGCCACGTTCAATTTTTGTCGCATGAGATATGGAGAGGGGAGCCCAGCATTTTGGAGTAATCGGATAAGCCTTCGAGGAGCAAATCCGAAAGGGCGGCTGGCGGCCCAGGTACGGCTTCTTTATAACCTGAATTTACAATGAAGGCGTCCTCCTTTATGGATATACTAGATTAGATTTCACAACTTAATTCACCGGAATGGCTCCGTTTAGGGGAGCTCCGGCTGATTTTATTACGCCGAGCCAAATTGGATGTTTGTGGTCTTTACGAAAAGCGATTGTGACATAAAATATATAATTTTTAAAGTAAAAAAACCAGTGGTTCGACCCTGTCCCCTCCCCCCAACCCCCGTTTGGGAAATGCTGAGAATCGTTGCTGCGCGCTGGTCTCTGCCGGGGGCACCGGGCCTCACGCGGGGCGGCCCGAGCTCAGGCCGCGCCTCCGGGTCGTTCGAACGTGGAGATGCCCGGCGCAGGCTCCGGGGTCCCGGGGCTCCCCTGGGCGAGAAGTCCCCGGCCGGCGCGGGGGCGGAGGAAGCGCCCACCCAGAGCCACCGCGCGCGCTCCCGGCCGGGCGCAGCCACAGCCGCGACCCCA